TAATAATAAAGGTACAATAAAGATTTGCACGTTGAAATGCTCATGTTATTTTGCTGTGAGAGAAAATAGATTTGCAATAATTGGAATGAAATGGATGTGGAAACTCGCACTCGTCTGAAAACTAGACCGCAGCCTAACCCTAATTACACTGTCTCGAGGTGTATTGAAAGCGAACGTACATAAGAAATCTCAATCTTTTTTTCTAGATCTAAAGAGATCGATATCGAAAGATAACCTACTCGATAAATTTTTTTTACATTTTTGGGAAAAAGAAATTACTTTATTCTATATTTTATAGTAAACGGTAATGGAAAACTATTTACAAATATGTAACATCGAAATGTAAACATTTGGTAATAATTCGACTTGAGTGGCCATCAAAATTGATGCTATCATAAAATATTCATACTGCATTTATATATATAAATGTATATTCCAAAGTTTATACCACTACTTTATCTTTGAGTATAAATTATAATAACTAAAGAAAACGCATCACTGATTTCCAACCATATAAACAATATTTGTATGATTCACATTCACATTTAATAAATAGAAACCGGCTTCAGCCTATATAATCTTCTCGATTGGTTTTAATAGCATATTATGCATCTTTGGAGCATCTCTAATCACAACAGTAATAATATATACTGTATATTCCAAGTATGATATTCACCTGAATTCTCCATCTCTTCTTAACATCCAGGAAATGTGAAAAAAATCCACTTTAATTAAAAGTGATAATTTTTTTTCAATGTAAATCATTCAATTAGATTGAATGACATTGGTGTATAAAAATATATGAAAATCGTAAAGTTTTTTTTTCTTCAGAAAAGAAAATTAGAATTTACGAGTTTGCAAAGAAGTTTCAAGTAACTTAATCTAGATTTTCATTTCAAGTACACGTAAATTATGAGTCTAGCCCTATTACCCAGCTATAAAAACATGGGGATAATAAATCTTGCATAAGAAGATTATAAATTCGATTTTATAAAGGTAGATTACAAATTAAAGGAGAAAAAAAAGATGATAAATTTTCATTTCCAACTATGACATTTGTTTTATTGTAAGATTTAGATTTTAATAGTTTTTCGCCTTATTCGACTTATTTAAATTAATTCCAATTAGACTATCCAGAGAATAACTCAAATATTTACAATTGTTGTTAAAAAATAAATTAGATCAAAATCCATGGTTTTATCCTTAAAAAAATGAAAACAAGGTATTAAATCGTCAAAGCCTAAACGAGTAAACACTAATCCCTGATGGTGGCTTTTCCTCAAGTATGTAAATGTAGACTCTATCGATCCCAACACTGTATCACTCGGCAATTTGTCAAAAGTCCAAACGATCAGAGTTGATCGTTAATTCCGGATGCTGCGGCTTTAAGCCTACGTAATGGCGGGGCGTTCGATTTAACGACGCCCACTCGAAGCACAAACGTTTTACGACCACACGAAGAAGTCCATTGATCTGAGAGAGAGAGACTTGAAACGATCGATCGGAACTTCAATGACATTGCAGAGGCAAAAAAAAGGACTACAACACGAAAAGGAGAAAAGAGCAACTCGCGCGCTCACATATAAGAGGGAGAAAACTGACGGGAAGGTGGAGCGAATTATTTCTTCCCAACGGGAGAGCAATTAATTGATCGATTTATGGATCCCACCAATCGTTACACACCGGATGTACATCTGATGGCTAGTCTCGACGCTCCTAATGACGTATATATACATGTGTGTGTGTATGTCGACGATTCAGATAGGTATCCGGTTGGTTCTTGCTAAAGTGGTTATTCATGTACATCCAAGTACTGAGGAAAACAAGAAGCTATAGGGTGTCAACCACCATTGCAAAGCTAGAATTATCCCTTCTAGTCTTTATTGCCCACATTGCAAAAGATGAAGCTGATAATACTCTTAATTAGGGACATCACATTCTCACATTAAACGTTAGGTAACCTGTCATCTTGCTGGCGGTAAAAAATTATTCGCTAATAACAAGAAAAAACTTTCAGGAAATGATATAATGAAAATAACAGTATTTTCAAAAGAATTTCACAACCAAATATTTAAATAGAATCTTGGCTACTTGTTGGTAGAATTTGATGACACTTCCACTATAGTTGTAATTAAATTGAGGCGCATATAATAAAATAAGAAGATGCGTGTTGGTAATAGTTGTTAGCCTGTCTTCTACGGTGCGCACATACTTGTTCAAAAACCTATTTATTCGTAGGCTGTCGAATGCGCTGGGGCGAAACCGGATTCGCTTTAGCGAGCACTCACAGCTAATGATGAGAGACCTTAAGAAAGGTGTCTTTATGACCACGAGCCTCTCGTTCAAAGAGACTACCATGCTGAAAACTCCAGGCCTTGGTAAAGATAATGGATAATTTCATCCAGGGAATAGACATAGTTCGAGTTACGGGTGCAGTTACGATGGGCAAAACACGAGTGTGGTCATTTTAATGGCAAATTCACGAGACTTTTCATCAAATGTCATTTGCATATTTTAATTAGAATAGTCTAAAACTGATTTCTAGTTTCTAAATTTTTTTATTAATTTTTGTAATCATTTACAGTACCTATTTTTATATGATTTATGTACTTAAATTTCCGTTCCGAAATTTCCCAAAAGATTTGAAATCGATTATTTCTCTCGTTACTTTTTATCACTTTTAGATTTCGATGAGATATTAAAGCTGATCTTCGAGAAAGTCACTGAAAAGGTTGAAGGAAACTAAATCCATTTGAATTTTTTATTCTCATTCAGAAAGCGCGACCCAACCGCAATATTCGTAACAACCAAAGAAAAAGACTTCTCGTGTTCGCATGACGATATACACCAAACCCACCGTACACGCGGAATTAAATTTAATCCTTATCGAGAGACACCATTATGTAAATACGCTTGGTCTCAAAAGAAAAACAAAAATTCTATTATTTTCTTCAAAAACAGGCAAAAATAAAATTATTATAATAAAATAATTTTAAAAATATATTTTTTTTTGACAAAAAACAAAGATTGGAATGTGCAATATGTCCCTCAGATTTTATATTGACAAATAAAAAGCTGTAACTTTTTTTTATGAAGCGAAATTGCTATTTGTTTCTCCTCTCGCGCAAGAAGTGTCTGATTCCCATTATAATAACCGCACAGAGCCATTTACACTGACGTCTACAAATGTGAATGACCCGTAATTACACGCATGGTCTTGTGTATCGTGTTTTCGTAGTAATTTGAACTTATATGCGCGGTTAACAGACAAAACGAACATATCTAAGATCGAGTCTTAGTCTTCCCGTTATATACAACAGCGTGTCAGTTCATCGCGCGCGCTTATTTGTATTGAATTTTATGCATATGTGAATATATGTACACACATATAAACGAAGAAGCAGGCTAAATCGCGGATGGCCGTTACATCATTTATCGCGGAAAATCGCCAAGATATTCGCGCACAACACGAAATAAGTAACGCGGCGCATTTACCGTGTCCCCTTTTCTCATCTCGAAAACCTTCCTTTTACGTCCTTTTTGCATACACATATATAGAGAGAGACTTCTAACTATATGTATATATAAATGTATAACCAGTGAGCATGCAGTATCCCATTTTCATCTGCAGCCTTGCGATGATAGGCATGGTCACTAATGAAAATAATAAATCTTGGAAGGAAGTCGTGCATTACCACGTCATTGTTGAGAGACTTTGCCATAATCGAATTCATAGCGTGATACATGGCTTATGCCTTTCACATATGTAATTCTATAAATTGCTGAATTTATTGTATCAGATAAAGTATATATTTTATTTAAAAATTCCGAGATGAATTTTTTTTTCAAAATATCCCTTTTATATTTTATATCCTTATAGCAAATATATCACGAAAGCATTTTATAGCGGATGTTTGCTTTTCGTTATTCGAAAAATAATATTAATACACTAGTGTCTAATTGTAACTTACTTTTACTTCTAATAAATGTCTGACTGCAAATACCAAATACCTAATACCAAATTAGAAGAATTAAAATCGTTTTGGCTGACTGAAACTGACTTTTTCTACTATCTCAAAATTTTCTGCCATTACCAAATAAATATTTATTTATATTAAATAATATTATTATTTGCGTCAATTAAATGGTATTTTTTCAAATACAGAAATCATTGGTCCAAATACCGTCTATTTAATTCAAAAATAAAAATTATTTAGTTCAAATAAATATTTATTTGATCTATTTATTATTTAACTAAATTTCTTTGATCTTACGGAAGCAGACAAAAGTTTAATGACTGAATTACACTTTTTTTTAATAACAGGAAAAATAAAGTAATCCAGCAAGTAATCACTTAATTATAACACTATGTTTTTCCTGTTTAGACTAATTAGATAATAAAATCCGCTTTTATTAATTTACTGTGAACTCTGATTATGAAAGCATAAAAACGCTCAATTTCAGATTATATAGATATTTTTAAGAATGTCGTATAAAGTTGTTTACAATGTCATTGGCTCTTTAAATGCGAATTCAAATAATCGTAGGAGAAACATGATTAATCGATCATTAGATTCGCGCCAGCAATGAATGTTTGCAAGTAAAATTATATATATATGAATAAGCATTACATCTCGTTAATAATCAAGTAGTTCGACGCCTGTTCATTAACGAACAGTTGAAAATAAATCAAACCAAATTGCATAATTATGTCGTTTCTATATTTAAAAATTTCATTATTAATAGATTTGTTGCTTTCTTAATTGGATTCCGTTCGGGTATATATTATCTCGAAATAGTTTTCCCCATCAGAGCCCAACTGGAAATTAATATCGAAAACATACTTAAGAAAAATATTATTTTAAATATAAAAAATTAAATATTTAAAAAAAAATTAATATAAATTATATTGGATATTCACTAGAAATAGTGTGTAGGCGTTGAAATTTAAAAAAGACCGCCAACTCTTCTATCGATATACATGGAAACGATTCTCGAGATACGCTATAGTAGTGGTAGTAGCAATGAAAGTGACCTTCAGTCGCACAGAAATCAAAATAATTTAACAAAACGTGTGTGGATTTTCAGAATATTGTCAATGACTACTATATAATAAACCAGAAAGAAAAAACGTTTCTTCATCTCAGCATTCACATTCGACTATATCAACTGAATCGATTAAACCGGTAACGTATATTTATATAAAGCGGCAAAATTGTTTTGGTGTGTGTCTAAAGTGGTCGAAGTGGAAACACGTATAGGGCAAGGGGAAAATGAAGTGAGAGGGGAAGTGGCGCGACGACTCAAGAGAAGCTCTTTGGCGCATGGCGCTTGCTTTTTTAATTTCCTTATTTGTTTATCACTATATATCAAAATTAATCGAAAAAAATATATTTAAAATAATTCTCATTTAAATTCATTTAAAAGATCCTTTGAAAAAATTCAAATATTCCTGTGTCGAAAAATAAAAATTTGCGCATGCGTTATTTTTTCAATATTAAGGCGCGAAATATAATTATAATTCGATTTTAATATTTCAAAAAAAAAAGGATTATTAAGATTAAAAAAAATAGTCATATTTCTTGATTTATAATAGTGATTTATAACCACTAAAAATTGCATGACATTCTCAAATAATATTTCCTTCATACCAAAGAATTTTTTGTTTTATTCAAGCAATGTCATCAACTCTCCTTTGACCTTCTGGCTAAAGAGTAAATTCCTCAGTAATCCTCAACAAGGATATCATCACCTTAGAATAGTAAAATTATTCATATGCATCACTTTCCCGATATTTATTTCTTATATCTGAATTTTATATAAAAACCTTGACATTTCATGTATATATACAATGTATAGTCATATCTATTTTAGAAAGGATTTCGGAATAGTATTCTAATCGCTACCGTTAATATATACAATCACCTGTTGACCACGCCTGTAATTTATTCATAAATATATTCTACCCCAAATGGAACATAGCAAATTTTTTTTACTTTCTTATTCAATAATTATTGTGAAATATTAAATACTTTCAAGATAATTAATTTTAGATTTTAATCATTTTATTTTCTTTATATACGATAAAGAACAACAATAGTTATTGTTGACATTTAAGAAGATTATAAAATAAGAGACCACCCTCGCATTAGGTGAGCAGAACATTTAATATTGATAATAATTTATTATTCATGGCTGACGAAGCGGAGGAGAAAAATTTTTCAAGCCTGGGAGGAGCAATCCACGAATGATTGCGGCCGTTCTGCGGCCAATTGAAAAATCGCTCGGCTGCCGTACTAATGGGTTATGTGCGAGACATTTTACCCGGAGGCCAAAACCGTTATCTTCGGAGGTCAGTCATTTCTTCAGTCTAAGAATTCGGAAATAACACGCATGCCTTCTCAACAAACGTCAATTACCTCCGCGCCATACAGAACAAAACTAGAAAAAGAAAACTAAGCAAAAAAAAAAACAAAAACGATCGTGAGAAAACTTTATTCTTTACCTCAGAATCAAAATCATAACTTTCAATAATCCTAAAAAACTTTTATCTTCTTAAAATTCCTAAATGAAAAATAAAACATAAATGGATAATTCATAAATCATAATCTTTATTTGTTTTTCGGTTTTAAAAAAACAGGTCTTAACGAGCTACTTGTTACAAACAAAAGAACCACCATGGACGTCATATTTCGTGAAATATGCGGACATAACGAACGATCAGAGGGGAATGTCTCATTTCAACTGGCCAGTGGGCATGAGCAACTATCATATTTTAAGGACGGGCTGTTTTCCCTACATCAAATATCACTGCACCAAAAGACCCAAACAGGACCTCACACTAGAAGACAAATTTTTCAAGGCGATCAAGATACTTAACCTTGGTATATTCATATACTTCTACATAAAGTTTAATGGCAAAAAGAGGCCAACGTAACTAATATCTTCACATTAGTCACGCGCCTTATCCCTCACGCGTTGGGAGTTTTTGGCCCCCTTTCTCCTTTTGCTTATTATGGTCCCTGCTATATAAAAAAAAACTGCCCCACTTGATCCACAATCACGTCTATTGTTTTAATTATTCATGAATTTCATTAGAATGTAAACCTTTTTTTATTTTATTTAAGACACGTAATAAAAAACTATTCTATAATTATAATTAATAATTAACTGTAATTAATAATTAAAATTCATAAACAAAATTAAAAAGGTACATTATGTGGCAGGTATTCCAACACTCATGTATGGATTAGCAGCGACGCAACTAATTCGTCACAAGGAGGTGGTGAAGACAAACAAAGGAGAAGTGACAATCTATTTTCTACTACCCGAAGAAAAAGGTTCACAATATTAAAATAAGATAAATTAATGTTACATTACACGAGACTTAAATACTCGACAAAATATAAAATGTCAGTAATTTAAATGAATCATTTTAATCAAGTCCCTGCTCTCGGCTTCCTCGACGAAGGACATCGACTTCTAGGAGTTGTGTGTACAACATGCATGTAATCTGATGTGGGTTTGCAATTATTTTTTTTTTCTTTCATTTTGAATATTCAGAGACTTGGATCAGTGGAATTCGATAAGAAGTGGGGGACACAAGGTGCCAAGCTCTATTTCTTATCAAAGTAAAGTATATATTCTAATTAGTAATTCATGTTCTACCAAGGAGTCAACTTTTATAAAACCATGCATCCTCGTCGTCGTCGTCGTCGTCGTCAAACACGGAAATTCGTCATTCTCACATATCGACGTTTAGACATCTTTAACTCTCTCGTTTGAGTAATTAACATGCTAGGAATAAATAAGTGGGAAATCAAGAAACGAGTTAAGCCAGTCACTTCGTTAAGAGACAACCTCATCATTTTTTTTGTCTCCTTTTCAAAAAAATTATTTTTTACCACTTTTTTTTAATAATGATCGTTTAAATCACGAAAAACAAATTGCAGCCATTTGACAATATTTTTTTTCGATTAATACGACAGTAAATTTTAATTTTAAATAAAAAAAAATCTAAAAAATTCAAATTACTCAAGTATTTTTATTTAATATTTTTTGAAAAATTCTTTATTGAATTTGACACAGGAAATGAGTATACCGCGATTGGTGCTAGTCTGAGGTGAAAGCAGACTTTGATTAATACTTTTATCACGAAGATCAACCGCGGAAGTTTATATACCTTTCACGACTATCTGTTTGCAAGTTGCCTCATTTGTCCCCATTGACAAGAAATTCAGTTATTCGTCATCTAATTTTCAGTTTCCCTTATAAAAGTGAAATATGAGAAAACGAGTTATGGAAATTTAGAAATAATTTTGTCTACACTGTTCCGATTGAATTCGTGAATATTAGAAAACATTCCATGTTTATACAAGAGAAAAATCTATTTTCACAAGATTTATATTGCAATGTATCGTGACTTCATGACACAGTTGAAGAAGAGAATCTTTTGAATTCCTTTTGCATTTTCATGCGTGATTTCGAAAAACGACGAGAGATAAACTTTCAACTCTAATTGGCTATATGGAGGCTTCTCATTGAGCATAACGAATTAACAAGACACACACATACACACTATATGTTTAATCTAATCTCGTTTCATTTTATTTTTAATTAAATCTACCTTGTTTGGAAAAATGCTTTTAGGCTTCATTCCTAATGAACTACATCGTGGAAAAAAAATAAAACATTTTCCCGAAGGGCAATGATGAAGTAATGATCATAAAAATAATAATAATAAATTAAGGTGTGACAAACAACAAATGACCGTCTTGTGTAGAAAGCGTTTCAACTAAAAAATTGCAAATCAGGTGTTATAGACATGTCATTAATTTTGTCTTTGATGTTTTAAACTCGATTAATTAATAACTCTTTTAGAAAATTTATATGTTTCATATTTTATTTTCAAGAACAAAGAAAATAAAATTGATATATGCAAATATAATTAAAGGTCTTCTCACAGTGTCTAGAAAACGAGGTCATTTTCTTGAATCATTATAGACATAATGAGAGCAATGTCCAATTAAACTATATTTACGCATGAAATAAATACCCGAAAATGATCCCAATGAGATATTATTTGTTCGTGTCTACTACGTGGAATATTATAGAGCTTATGAATCTGCCTATCTGCATTTGAGCATTCACTGTGCATAATTAATACAAATTATGCATCAGGATTGAACACGTGCAGACGCAAATTCCCGTAACTTCATGCAATTTACATCCAGTGAAAACATTTTTACTTTTTTTTTCATCTTTGAGAAAATTTCTCTTCAAGTTTAGAAATCAAGGCAATTAAAAACTTTTATTATAAAAATAAATAGAATATAGAGTAAAAAGTCACCTTTTTTTATTCATCAAAAAGAACTACAAACGGTATAATAAAATAAAATTTATATAATAATCGACAGTTACATGATTTTTATATATGTATAGTTTTTGAAATGAACAATTATAATTATGCCCGTAGCGTATAAATTTTAATTAACCTCCTCTTCCAAGTAGAGTAATTTTGTTTCCACATCAATGCCAAGTCTATCTTTCAGTTCATCAATCACGCCTACTTGAATTTGATCCACATCTTCCGGAGGGCAATATTCATCATAGCTGGACCTAGCAATAGTGACAATCGTAGGTGGAGCAGGTAAAACAGCTAAGAAAGATTTAAAAGTCCCACTGATGAGTCTATCAAGATCTTGTTGACTTGTCACATGATGAGGAAGATCAGTGTCATCAATGGTGCATCCAGCATCATGAATCGATATCCAGTTAATTTCTGCATCCCTATAACATCTCATCATCTCACGATATATCAACTCGACAGCTTCGTATCTTGCACTTTTTTCCTTCTCATAACCATATAAATTTCTATTTTCCTCTAAATAGGAAAATAATTCCTGTAATTCCGTCAATTGTTCATCTCTCGCCATTGTTGCTTCTTTTAAAATTTCCTGATCAGTTGAATTTGGTCGTTTAAATTCGTAAAGTGGTGCCAATTTTTCATAGATATTTGCATTCTCATAAAGTGTCTTGAATGGATTTTTTGTGCTGAAGAAATCAAGATCAATATCAAGAATATAGGGTGTGTCACTTTCTGGTAAATATTGTCGAAGTGCTGATGCAATTGCGGGAAAATCATCACGTTTCATTGAATCTTCAATAAAAGAACCCATTGTTATTACATGTAATGTCACTTCGCGTGTATTTTCAAGTTCCTCGGGATAGCAATAGAGTGCCTCGCTGACGAAATATGGTTCCGAGCATGTTAATCTTATCAGACCAGTTTCTTTGTGCTTTCCAATAAGAAACGTTAACATACCATCTGTCATCTGTTTTGCCCATGGCGGTTTAATCCAAACCAAGTTCTTCAAATGTCCAGCATAAGCTGCAGGAAGTATCCAGTTTTCGATGCTAATTTCACTAAAGAGTTGTTGCTTATCCCACACGGTGTCAGCATTCATATCCTTTGGAATCAGCATGTCAGGATGGGAGTCTAAATGAATTATGGTGTTACCTTCAAATGGCAAATGTTTTGATCCCAAACAACGATAAATGCAAGGCAAAGCATCATGATGATCTTCGACAACGTAAATTGGAGTCTTTTTAAATTTTCGTGACATTCTTTTGTTTTGGCTGATGCAATCCTGCAATAAAAAAAAAACAATTCAATCCACCATTTTATGTGTGATTATTGAGAAACAAAATGGCCGACAAAAATGGTTGGAACCATGAGATAAAATAATAATACTAAAGATATATGAAAAAAATGATTACTTACTGAAATATTATTCTCAGTTACAATTTCATCACATTAAAGATTGCTTTAGGTTGTAGTTGCTTGAAAGTTAATAACTCCTTTCACTGTGTGGCACAAATTGAATTGACTTGATATTTATTTTCGTTATTAGAAAGAAAAAAAGACTTCTTTTTCTAACACTATTAAAAACAAAATACAAAAAAATTTTGTAAATAATTATCACAATATTTAAGAAACTACTTTTTTCACTGAACGACAAACTTAACCTTATTTTTCCAATGTCTCGACACCAGACGTGCGAAGCCGGTAAGTCGCTGGGTTCGAGATTTCAATAAAAACGCGCGGTCAAATTTAAATCCACTATATTTTTCATTTATATATAAATCTTTAAATTGTTAAACAATAGTTTAATTTCAATATTGAAATTATTTATTAAAGAAATTATTTTATTGTATTAAAAAACTAAATGCAAAAACATTGTAACAATGCAAATCGAGACAATTTTGTTACATGTATTTTTAAATTTATTGTTTAATGAATTTGTACTGTACATATACATGGCGCGTTTACACCAGAATATGTACAAGCTTATAATTAAAACTAATGTTTCAATTAATCCTTTGCTGTCGGTTATGAAACAAATCTTATGTTTCAATTAACACTGAATTGCATACCTTACTAGTATTACATCAGAAGATATCGTTTTGTTAAATTTCTCGTATAAGTTTTTAAATAGGATTTACAAATTGCAAATCGTAAAACTTGAACGATATTTATTCTAATTAAACACCGACTGTAAATCTATGGCTTTCAACTATTTGCCGAACATTAATATAAAATATTAGATATTAAATTCCTTGTTAGCAAAGAACATGTGTGTTAACTTTTTTAATATTATTGCTACTATTATTTTTACTATTACAATTTATATTATAATTTTTTTTTACCGACAATAAAAATTCTGAACAAGTTCAAAACTCACAATAAAGGAAATTTTACATCAGTTTGTATGGAATCTGCTCATTATAAAAAATATTCTTATTAAAAAGTTATATTTAATTAAAATTCACTGTATGTAAGCAATAAAACAATAAACGATAATTTATGTTCTTCCAGAAAAAAAAACTTTTTTTTTTTTAAATAAAAATCGGTCAATCTTTTAAATATCAAGCATTTTTTGAAGTGTTTGTGAGGTAACTTTTAATTACATTTATTATATTGCTGGATAAGCAAAACTTTTTAAATTATAACTTTCCTCATATGTGTTATGTGTTTGTGAAAGTCCTGTATACAGATTTAACTTCAAATTAGTTACAGAAATTATGCACTTTTTGACAGATTGTTTAATTCTGTTTTAATAAAAATATAAAATGTATTTTTAATATTATTATAGAATAAAGAAAAAATTTTCAATAAATTCTGAAAAATTAATATCTCCAGAAATATAATGTGTATTTAAAATTTAATTATTCTCTCGAGAAAAATGATTTAACTTATCAATATAATGGAAATATTTCTTTCAATAAGAGGTAAAAATTCCAGTTTTTTTTCAATCAATTGATGCAGAATTTCCTTTCAATTTTGAATATGCTTTCACTATAAATATACGTCACAAATTCATTTTTATATTCTATTTTAATATGTCAATTCAGAGTTATATTTCTGTAGCTCATCTAATATTGAAACTTAACCGAGCCAAAGAAAGAAACGTGTATTATATATATAAAATTGTATCAGGTGACTCGAAAGCGTATTAAATAACCAGGAATATAAGTGTATAAGATATGAATATCTGGAGTTCGACATACATACATATTTTAAAAAATATATGATAAAAGCCATGAAAGGTAAGAAAACCTCTTTTAATATAACACACATGTGACACTAAATTGCTCAATAAATAGTATTAATTTCTAATAATTTAAAAAATTCTAATTACACCTAACATAATATTTTCATCGCACTATTATATTTTTTAGCTCCCATATACACAATTAATTATATTTTAGTTGTGATCTGTATAACTACAATTGTTATCTGTTTATAGATCAAAAGTGAAACTATATTCAATGATTAAGTATATTTATTCAATTATTCTAAACCTGTATTATAATCGCATTCGCGCAGTTATACGGTCCAAGCTTGTCGATTAATGATTTACTAAACTTATAAGTCAGAAATTTATATTGCAAAATGAATAAATTGTTTGTCACTACTTAAATCAAAAAGTGATGCATATTAATTAGCAATCTGATTAGAAATAATACCACGTTTTTTAAATCGTTACTATTTGACATTAGATATATTTATTTTCGTTTTCTTAGTCTCATTTACTTATCTATTTATGAGTTTACTAATTATATTATTTTATTATCATTATCATATTGATTTAAGGTTATTTAAAAAAATATATTGGAAAAAAATTTTAATTTTTATAATATTTTTTTGTCGCCTTTTTGAAACATATTTCACATTAAGGAAGATTCCATATGGGTATTTTTACGTAACTTATACTTTTTATGAAAGACATATGATTCAAAAGAAAAAGAAAAGAATCACCTGCGGCGCAAAAGGCGACAGGATGTCGATATTCAAAATGAATGGAATGACTTTTTCGTTGGAAAAATTTGACACAGCCTCCGTGTAAATCACTATACTTTCCCTTTTATAATCGCGCATACAAAAGCTATTCCATTAAATCATTTAAGTATCATCCCCCAAAATCCGGATTTAAAATATTTAATGATTTTCCTTTAGAATGAACAATAATTCTATTGTCATCAAGGAAATACATTTTTCATAAAAATATATTCATAATGACAATAAGAAAAATGTAATAGGTATATCATTAAATAAATTAAAAAACCTTAAGTGATGACATATTAACATCATTTTTTAAAAAGTAAAAAAAAAAAATTTTCTATGTTAATTCGTGAGAAATTTACACAATTGAAAATCGCGTTTTCGTGTATTTTCTTGCGTCATTGGTGACAGTTAAACAATTCACATTATTCCATTTCTAGAATTTATTTACACAGTTCTTGATTTTGCGTTCCATAAGGCGAAAGCCTTAACACTGTGTTGCGTTACGTGGGAGTTATACACCTGCATCAGGAGATGCAGGAATTTTCTTCAAGAATATATATATATATATACATAGGCTCAGACTTATATACTCCCACGTTGATTTCAGTATCGGAATAATATCGCTAAAACCCGTCACAGATGAGTTGCGATAAAATTCATCGCCTCATTGATTTCTTGAGAAAATATTGTTAAAGTCAATTTAAAATCGTCGAATAACAATTTCTAATTATATAAATGGAAAAAGAATCGCAAATACAATATTTAAGAATTTTTTTTCGGATTAGTCTTCGGTAACTATAAAAATTGTTTTAAAGATTCAAAAAGATTCAACCTTAGAAAAATTTAATTTATGATAAAACTAAAACCAATAAAATTCGAGAAAAATGACTAAACTTCCTGAAAAAATCCGCCGATTCATATGAATAAAAAGATGAGAAATGAATTTAGTTATGAAACCACGAGATTATAAAATAATCTTATTTTATGAGATATTTTATACTAAATGATTTTATGACATCAGACTAATTAACTTTGGAGTTTAAAAAAAGAAGAATTTTTCCCCATTTGCGGCAACTGCGCATCCCTAATCGATCAAATTTTTTCCACAATAACCGGTAAATAAGCGAAGGCAAATGCAGCTGGTGCACTGACACTTGTGATCTAATTGCTTCCAGGAAGATCCTCTAAAGAAGGTGCAAATCGATTCCTAAGCTCATTAGTAGTAAATACTGTGGAATAAAGTGAATCCTGTTATCTCAGAAATTTAACTTTCGTTGATTTTCAAATTTTTCTCTTCATTCAACATTTCCTGCTGATATTTATATATATGTGTGAGTACTCGAAAGGGGAGGGATTAATTAACAGCGGAATCACGCGCCGTTGATCCCGAGAGGAAATGTTTGTTCATTAATTTTTATTACACTTTTAATAAACATTATATTTGCTGTGAAACAATTTTATTTCTTTGACGCGCTGTTTATGATGAAAAATCGCATTACCCCTAGGCAAATATTGCTAAACTAAATCCGTCGCCAATATCGCAGGAGGAAGATGCTTGAGAATAAATAATCTCTGTTGGTATCTAAAATTGCAAAAAAAAAAAAATTTTACACTACTTTTTGTGCGTGTGGGATATTTTTTTTCTAATATAAGGAACAAACTGGTGGCTGTATAGTTTCTTTTAGCCCTAAGCGAAGGAATGGGGTGTTCTCTTAGACACGCGATCTCTTATCTATAAGAGCTTCTCCTTTTTTCAACGCTTCACGGTCATTAAAGACTGTCGAAGCGTTAGGTATTGTAATAGATATACATATACCTCTGTGTGTAACGAAAGATTGTAATCTCTATATAAATTCACCAGCCGCAGCCAACATGCAAATATTAGGTACACCTCGTCGGTGAAAAAATTAATTGCGTGTGACTCTCCAAAAAACACATCAAATTTTTTCTTTTTAAAAAATATATTTGATTCTAATAAAAAATCCCTGGGTGTAAATATGTAAATTCAAAAAATGTGAGTCACTTTTATTTGGAATAATCATGTCCGAAAGTAACAGTCATCAAAGAGCTACTTGTCTTTAATTTATAAAGAGTGATGTCTATAAAAAAAAAGATGTACAATACAATATTGTGCTAGAAAAACGTGATACTTTTTTCCGATGAGTCATAAAAGAAAATTTTTCGATTTCCATTTATAGTAAATATGTCCATAATGGTGTCGTGTATATATAGTCAATACACATAAATTCAACTAGAAACACTATATCACACGTCAAATAAAACCCATCGTGAAACAGGTGTCGGTTCAAGAAACCTGCTGTCGTTCCAGGTAAATGTCCGTATCGAAGTCGACTTGCTTCAAAGTAACCGTTATGCATGAATCGGTATATTATCATATCAAGCATGTGTATAAAGAAAACAGTCAAAAAGCGGCAAAAGTGAAAGAAAATATTTTCAAAATCAAATGGAGCCAATAAAATTGGTCTATCGAATAACGAAATTCTGTTCTGTAAAGAAAAAAACTTTTTTTTCCACGACCCCTTTTGTAATATATATTTTCACATAATAAAATTATGTCAATAATTAATAGTAATTATTATATTACGCGATAAAGTGTAAGATTATAATTATATATTATATAATTATTATTATCATCTGTGTATTAAGAATCAATATTTTCCTCGTTAATCAATATTGATTATTTTAAATTACGTTCTT